TTCCCAGGACAGAAGGCGCTGTTCGGGGCCCGACAGTGCTGGGGAGCTGCGCGGAGGCTAACTCTCCACCAGGGCCCCGGGTGTCTGTCTGTCTGTCTGTCTCTCTCTCTCTCTCTCTCTCTCTCTCTCTCACAGCGCCCGCCCATCGCACCTGTCCTTCTGCGGCACTGTTCTCACCCCGTGACTCCCTCAGAGCTCCCTTGTGACTTCAAAGTGAGCCGCGCACATCAAGGAGGCCGCTGAGTGTGAGGAGCCAAGTCACCTCGCCTGTGTGGCTGCGCAAACACTAAAAGCAGCCGAAAGCCGCCCAGCATCACTCCCCCTGGCAAGTGGGGCCTGCTCCGTAAGACTCCTGGCACAGCCCGCTCTTGGCTCTTCCCCGGCTGCCACGGGGAGAAAATGGCCCTGTCCTGCATGGCGGACAGGTCCCCATGGAAAACCCCCACACCAGGCATATTTTCCTGGGGGACGTTTCCCCCGAAATGCACTCATTGCCACCAACACTGGGCTTCCTCCAGGCCCAGGGCCAGCCACGAGGAGGGCGAGGACAGCGAGGACAGCCTGCAGGGCCTCCTCGCGCCTGACCATCATCAGTCGGCCACTGGAGGCCGGGCCTGGGCGGAGGGGACTAGTCTTAGAAGAGCCGGCAGAGAGTGGCGGAGAGAAAAGGAATGTTGGGGGACGCAGAGGGCACCGCAGTGCGGGCGGCCTGGGCTCAGTGGGCAGTGGGGAGCTCAGGGGCTCCGTTGATGAACCACCCCCCAGAAGTCTGTGTAACTGGGAGCAAATAGGTGAGGTGGGTGAGGGGGAGGCGAGGAGCCACAGAGGCCCTGGTGGGCGGTGAGGTGGCATGGGGACCTTGTCCTGTGCCATGGAAGCCCATCGGTACTCCGAGCCTCTGACAGATAAAGTCCCCAGGATAAACAAGTACTACGCCCTCTCACTGAACAGAATGCCGCAGGCTCTGGGGACACCGCGGCCCTCTCTCAGCAACATAACTGGCTGTGACGTATTTTAGGGCTGTTACTACATTGCTGTGAGATTTATACACTGTTGGTGCCACCAGAAACACCCAGCTGGATAAATCTGTGGAGACAAAGCAAACCAAAACAAAACCCCCTGGGAGTCAGCTGGAAGACATCAGTGCAGAACTCGCAGAGCTTAAGGGACCAGGGATCATTAATCTCAGACCCTGCAACCGACGCATTGCTCAGATGAGGCTGTTAGAGAGAAGCCCCTGCCTTTTCTCAATGCCCCCTTCTCCCTGAAGGGACGCTAAATACAGGTCTGGCACAGCGGTCAGGAGTCAGGCAGACCTGGGTGCCATGGTCCCTGGACATCCCAGCTGAGATCCTGGTAGGCTCTGGGCCATGGTTTCTTTAGCTCTTAAAGGGAGATAACACCCCACCCTCGGACTGTTAGGGCAACTAAATGAGATAGTAAGAGGAAAGCAAGAATGCCTGGCACATAGTAGGCGCTTCCTGGGGGTCGGCCATCTTTGCTGTTGCTCGTAGATACCTGGAGCCTCACCTGCTGGGACGGTGTACACCAGACCCTCATTACTGACCGTGTGATGACTGTATCTTGTTGACTGCTTTTCCTAGTGACGCTCCATCAGACTCCTCCCAACCTCAACATCTCCTGTCTTCAACTGAAGACAGTCCTTGAGGTGGAGATGGCTTCGGCTGTTCTGGCGAGTTTTCCTGGGTCTCTCCCATGTATATGGAAGGTATACATGTTATTAAACCTTTTTTTTCTCCTGCCAATCTGTCACTTATGACAGTGATGTCTCAGCCACGAACCCAGAAGGGTAGAGGTAAAATTATTCTTTCTCCCCTACAGAGCAACAGGCTATACCACATAGCCTGGGTGTGTGGCAGGCTACATCCCATCCAGGTTTGTGTTAGTGCACTCTGTGACGTTCTCACGATGACAAAATCACCTAAAGATGTGTATCTCAGAACATGTCCCTGTTGTTAAGCGGCACATGGCTGTATTTTACTTTAATAAAAAGTTGCTTCTAAGTGGCCCTGATTTTAAAAGAATTAACAAGAATTCCTATATAGATAACATGAGACATGAGACCTAACTGTTATACTGTCATGAGGTCTATCATGCACCAAGTGCTGGGCCAAGACCTTGACATACACCATGAGCCATCACGGCACCTGTCCTGCACTCCCCTCCCGGCCTCTCACCCCACCCCTCGGAGCTCCAGTCTGACTGGGAGCCATTCTTTATTTCTTCTTCTCTCTGGCCCCCACAATATCCAATATGTCAGCCGGTCCCATTGGTCCTACCTCCAAAACATCTCTTTCCTTCTCTCCCTTCTATCTCCACTGCCACCTCTGTGTCCCAAGCCCCATCGTCCCTCCTGGACCACCTTAATCGTCTCCCAGCTAGTTACCCAATTTCTTCTCTTGAGCCCTGTCGTCTGCCCTACTGCCAGCCCATTCCTCACTCTGCAGTCAGAGAGACCTTAAAATATTTAAAAAACTGTTTTGGTATAGTATTTTCTTCCAGCTTTTTTGAGACATAATTGACAAAATATTTGTAATCTAATATTTTGAATGGGAAATCCATTCGGATGGTTCAAAAACTTTAAAAATGTTTATACCTGTATCCAAAGTTATACAGTGGTCTTGCCCCCACCCCTCCCCGCAACCACCCAGTTCTCCCCAATTGCTTGGCCCCCAGCCCTTTACACAGTGAAGCTCTTCTCTCCACTTTCCTTATGCAAACACAGCATCAGGAGTCATGCCTGCATTTCTGCCTTTACCACCCAAAAGACAGTACCTTGCGCATCCTGTCCTGTGCTTGCTGCCTTTGCTGACAACATCCACGTGGCAGGTGTGCTCATTCCTTTTTATACTGCATGGTAAGCCACTATATAGTTGGATGGACCCTAATACTCCCATCTTAATGGATATTTGAGCTGTTTCCAGTCTTTTGCTATTCCAAAAGGCACTGCCATGAATGACCTCGAACTTACGTCATTTCTCACGTAGGAGGTAGGGAAATTCCCAGAAGCGGAACTGCTGATAACAACAAATGCATCTTCCACAAACAACATGTGACAGGGTCCATTTCTACAAACTCTCACCAACAGAACGTATTGTCAAAGTTGTGGGGTTTTGCCAACTTTCTCGAATTGACGAAAAATGGCATCTTGGCATAAATTTAATTTGCATTTCTCCTACTTGAGTATGACTGAGCATCTTTCAAATGCTTGGGGGGTCATTTGTTTTTTCTTTCTGGAGAATTATTTATATTCTTTATGCAAATTTTCTCTTGGACTGTTGATTTTTTGTTGTTGATTTCTAGATTTTGAGGCATAAGTATACAGGTCTTCTACTCCAAGATTCCAAAGGAAATCTCCATTTTTCATTTGGCACTTATAAGGTTTCACTTTTCACATTTAAATTTCTTTAACCCGTAAATCAAATCACACGATCCCTTTTTTCAAAAGACATCTTTAAATGCTAGTCATTTCCAAAATTAACTAAGGGGACCCTCAAGCCCCTGCCTGCTAGGCCATGCTCCCCCTCACGACTCCCCACTTTTCAGTTCCATGAGAAGGAACATGCCAAGTTCTCTTCTGCTTCGGACCTTTGCAGCCACTGTTCCCTCTACCTGGAATGCATGTCCTCTGCCCCTTCACCCTCTGATTCAGTCCAATGCCTCCTCTTCAGAGCTGTCCCTGGACCCCTCTCTAGCACAGGCCATCCTCATCCCTGTCACACTCTCTCTGCATCCATTTTCTTCACATCCCTCATGCCACCCTGGTGACTTGTTTATTCATGTGCGTCCAGGTTTACTGTCCAGACATGAGCCCCAAGAGACTTTGTCTGCCTCAGTCACAGCCCTGTGGCTCTGGACTCCTGCTCTTCCATAACAAGGCCCTGTCACCTCAAAACACAGCCCAGTGTCCTCTGCTCCACTCCCACAGGTGCTACCACCTAATGCTCTTGTCTTTGACAGAGCTACTCTGAAGGCCTGAGGTAAAAGGAGTCTAAGGCAGAGGCCAGGAAGGCACTTAAACCTGAACTTCAGGACTGTGCCCCCAGGGTCAGAGGGAGGCTCCTAGGTCTGGGGCCCCAGGTCACGCACTCTCCTAGTGGCCTCGTCTGAGTTCCTGACCTCTCAAACACCCCCTGCTTTGCTATGCAAGACAGTTTGGCTACTGTACAGACAGGTCGGGTGGGCTCTCTGAGAACCAAGAGGCTCACTTAACTGTTATCTACAGGTAGGTAAATTGAGTCCCACGAGGTCAGGCCACCAAGCCAAGATCCCCTAGCTAATGACTGTGAGAGCCCAAGTCCTGCGCAGTTAGCCCTTCCTGACCGCCCATCAACATCATGGCAGCACTGGACTGCAATGCCACTGACAATTCTAAAGCCCAGAGTCCACTGGTGCCAACCAGGGTCCTGGCAGTGTCCTCTATGCCATCCTCCTACCATCTAAACAAAATCAACACAGTCCAAATGAATTACAATGCCAGTCACATGTAAATTTAAAGTTTTCTGGTAACCACATTAACAAAAGTCAAAAGAAACAGGTGGAATTAATTTAACATATTTTATTTAACCCAAAATATATTCAAATGATCATATCGACATGTACTCAATATGAAATATAATGAGCTATTTTACGTTTTCCTAAGTCTCCGAAATCCAGTGTGCATCTTAACGCTTACAGTAAGCACACCTCAGTTCAGGCTAGGCACATTCCCAGCGCTGAGAGGCCACAGTAGCGAGTGGCCACCCTGTTGGACAGCGCAACTCTAACCAGCAGAGGCCTAGTGCTCGCTCAGAGGCGCCCGGTACCTTGCACAACCGGGCTGCTACGGGGTCCTGTCCAGGCTCATCCTCCCCAGGCAGATCCTCAGGTCTCGGGGGCGGGGCCAGGGCAGCGGCCCCGCCCCGGCCCGGGCAGCGGCCAGAGGCGGCTGCAGGGACCCGACTGACCTGCTTTCGCGGCGGCCACCGCAGCCCACTCACCTCGCCACCGCCTCCACGGAGCCGGCGATCGGCACACCGCCACCCTCGCCGCTGTCGTACAGCACGCCCGAGATGTCGAGCAGCACCCCGCGCACGCCAGCCAGACGCTCGCCCCAAGCGGCCATTGCGCGCAGCCGTGCACCTCAGCTTCCGCGTCCCCACTCATGACTGGAAACTGCGGCTGCGCTCGTCGCGCAGGGGGTCCTGGGAAGTGTAGTCTGGTGGAGGATGGGGCGGAGCCGGCGGGGCCGGCGGGGGAGGGGCGGGCGCTGCCTCGGGACTTCCGTGCCCCGCAAATGGGTGCCTTCTCCGCAAGAGTTAAGTGGGCATATTTCAGAGCAAGGCAGATTGAAGCAAAGAGACACCTGTAAAAGTAGCAAAAATTAAAGAGAACGAGTAGTATCAGTGCTTCGCTAGTGTTTTCTCATCCTTTGGCCGGAGTGGGACAGCCCTAAAAGCAATGGAAATAGTTGGATCATTAACCGGAGACTCCTGCACCTGGGAAGGAATGCTAAGGACGCGATTCTAAAGCCGATAGCTGCAGTTTAAACTACAATGACAAAACGAGCTGGAAGAAAAGTAAATATTCAAGGGTGGGAATTGTTTAAGAAATTATAACATGGCTATTAAAAGAAATATGTCATCAAAAATGAAGACTAGGTAACAACATGGAAAATGCTCATATTACGACATTATATGAAAGAGCAGAATACAAAACTGTATGTAGACAACAGCCCTGCCAAAATAAGGATGCGTAGGAATAGGGCTGGGAAGAAAATGGGGCTATTGCAATGTGTTAGGCCAGTGAGATTTTGATGAATTTTTACAATCCATTTAATGTTACATCATTTTCGCAGTAAGTAAAAACTGATAGAAAAGAAGAGTGTCCTTGACTGCCCCCCTGACCCTTTGAAGTATTTAAATTAAAACTTGAGGAGCATTTGAAATCTTGCTTCCAAATTGTCATCAGTTTGGCTCAAATAAAATCTTATAAAAATTCAAAGTAAATAAATTGCAACTTGAAAAAATTTGACCTCTGGCCTGACTTAACTTTGAAGTTTCAAAAGAGTCTCTTGATTCACAGATAAGATGAGGAATTGAACTTTAGCCCAGTTCAATAAATTGTACATATCATGTTGATAAGTTTATTGGGGGAACCGTTGGTTCTACAGGAGAAATATAAAAAGTAGTTCCTGCCCTTTGAGGATTTACGATCTTTTGCGGGGAGAAAATAGTATCATTCCTTATATTGGCCATGGTTCTTAGTTGCAGACAGTAGAAACCACTCTGGCTAGAGGGGTATGTTTACACAAGGAATTAAGGAGCTTACAGATTTCCTGGGGGACTGGGGAACCAAGCTCAAGTGCTACACAGCCAAGAGCCATGCAGCCGTGAGAAACGCCCAATTGCACTGCTCCATTGGGACCAGTGCTCCATCGGTTGGCTCCTAAGATGCCAGGGGAACTTCTATCAGGCTGACAGTATAGCTCCCAAAGAACCAAAACACCCACTACCATGCCCTTTGAAGATTCTTTCTCTACTTGTGGCCACTGCCTCGTTTTCACCATGTCTGGCTTGGTGGAACCTAGTCCAACCTGCAAGGGAGTCTGGGAAATGCAGCATTTAGCCTTTGAGATTCTGTGGGGTAAGAGCTGAGTGAGTCAATCTGGAGAATCGGCTACGAACATCATGAATCCATACACATGTATTGACCTTCTACTCTCTGGGATCAGTGGGCTCCAGGGGTGCAAAAAAGGTCTAAGGTGGGGTCACTGCCTTTGAGTCAAGAGTGGGCAGAGAACGAGACATACACCTTTCAGATTACCAACCAAATGTGTGCCAAGCACCAAAGAGTGACATAGACACGGCCAAGAGGATGGGCTCTGTAGGCCATGGAGGGCAGCAGTGGTTTCTGAGCAGAGGAGCAGCCTGAAATAGACCTAAAAGAATGACTGGGCCTTAGCTTTATGCCAAGGAGGAGGAGGAGGAGAGAAGGGGCACTTCCGCCAGTGATGGTGAGCATTTGCACAGTTCTTCCTTCCACTAGCTCTGTGTGACATTGAGAAAATCACTTCTGTATCTAGGACTGTGACAGCCCCTTGAAGATGTCCATGTCCTAATCCTTAGAACCTGTGCATATGTTACCTTACATGGCAAAAGGGACTTTGCAGATGTGATTAAGCTACGGATCCTAAAATGGGGAGATTAGCATGGTTGCCCTGCATGGATGGCCCCTTAAAAGCATAAGTTGTTCCACAAATGCAAGGGATTTCCCCTAAGGACGCTGTGAACCCATAGCCATGTCTAAACCTTCCTGGATCCTATTCTTTTCAGCCTAGCCTGCATCACCTCATAAGGTAAAGGTTTTCAATCCATCTGAATCAGACTGTGAGCTTCGGGTTCATGTATTGGGCTTCCTTTTATTCCTTTCAACTCTTCAGCTTGCTAAATGCCAGGGCGCTAATGGGCGCAAAGACAGTGCTGAGTGTGCCCAAACTTTGGGGCAGGGCAAAGACCAGACAGCCTGTATCCCTACAATGTGATTAAGGCTGTGCCGGTCATGGTTCTTTGACCTGCACCATGGTATCCTGTTAGGCAGTGCTTGGGCTCAGTTATCATCTCGGACGTCCCCTTACGCATCTCAGCTACCTGTATAACTTTGAAGGAAAGCCATTCACTAAGTAACTGCAATAGGACTTCGCCTTGGGCCAGGAATGTGATCTCCTTGATAAGAATCTTACTGAATGAACCAGGTGGGCTCTGATATCTTACTTCCTAGCTTTGGGGTTGTGGGCCAGTTACCTGAGCTCTCTAAACTTGGTTTTCTCAATTGCAAATTGGGAGTAATAATAGTGCCTGCTTTGTGTGGTCGTGGGGGAGATTTAAATAAATAACCCAAAATAAGCAAAAAGCTTGACCAAGTGATCCAGAGCAAGTACTTGAGAAAGAACAGCTATTTACTGTCAATACTGTCATTATCAGGGGCTATTAACATGTATTCTACTAACTAGTATAACCCACAGCTTTATGCCTTCTTCGATGCTTTCTTGACATTTCCAAGACAAATATGTTGGTTCCTTTTTTAATCTGTTGATTTTCAAGAAGAAATGCTGATTTCTTAAAGCGAAATAAGTTGCCTAAACATGTTTCTTTCGGTGGCCTTGGGGGGAAGGGTGGGAAGGCTGCACTTTGAGCTTTCACCAATCAAAGTCTCCGAGGTGGGGTTTTTAAAGGAATACTTGCCCTGCTTGGCAGCCAGAGTTCAAAGCCCTGGTGAGAAATAGGAAGTGGTAGTCTTTAATTGTAAATGAACTCTCCAGCAACAAGCGGTATAGAGTCAAGTAAACACTTAGCAACTGATTCTGCTGCTATCAGTAGTTTTTAATGCCAGCGCCTTCCACTTCCCATTCTGTAGACCAATTTGAGTTGAAGAAGTACACCTTGGAGAAAGCTGACAGAGGTGATGAGTAATGGGGTTGCCCACATGGCTATACCCCAAATTGACTTCCTCCCCTTTGTCGTTACCTTCTGCCTTATGAAGCTGTCTCTTTGGCATATATGTCCTACCCTGTGGGCTGGCCCAAACCACAGGATTTTAACTAGGGAATTTAAGTTGTATTTTATTTCGGGAACATGAGATTTTATCTAAGGTGCTTTAATGAGGCTCATAATACTGCTCTCCCTCTGCATAAACTGCAAATTCTTTCCACTGTTAACGCTGTTCACGGCTGAGCAGCAGCTCCTCAAGGCTGTGCTGGAATTATAGGCCACTTTGTTTGTGGAATGGCTCAGGAAGCCTGGCACCATTGATTTGCATCAGTGCCTCGGGAATAGCCTTTGCCTTCTCCTTAAAGATACTATCTAAACTGTGAAATTCATTAAATGGCCCCAGAAATGGATCAGGTTATTTAACACAACATCCCTAATGGCGCAATATCTCAGCTGTCTGCACTGATAGTGAACATTGTCTTGGATAGTGTTATCAGCTCAGGACACCCGCTATGAATATTGATCCTGAGCTTGTTACAGCCATCACTTGCCATCAGGACAGGTCAGGGGTGGAACCCACCTAACATCAAAGCAATTTAAAGACAGCACTCAGGCAGAATTTTAATGCCCATGCTGAAAAAACAAATCGACTCCATGCACAGAGGGAAGGTGGCTTGCTGGATGCGGGTATATTTACTGTATAAGAATACCTTTGGTATAAACACATGTGTGAGGATGTTAGCAAGTCAACGCACTGCCAGATTTTACCTACAGAAGGTCTCACTGCCTCCTGGTTGTTTGCAAAGCAGGTGGCCAGCAAAATAATTACCTAAGGCCCTCTCTCTCCTCACCAAATTGAAGAATTTAGCCTGTTTCTAGGGTAGGGGGTTTCCCTGGAAGTTAGGTGAGTAAAAGGGAGAATTTTTCTAACCTCGGATTGTGCTGGGAGACACTGCAGCGCTGCTTCGCTCATTGTGAGGGTTCACATAATCCTGTCCCACACTGAACAATGCCTATCAGAAACGTTGGGAAAATGAAGGGCAAGAACAATTTAAACGTAACTAAAAGAAGTCCTTAAAGATACAGCCTTAAAGCTGTATCTTTACAGCTTGTGGCTTTTAGGTGTTCTTGACTTTCCAATTTGTTGCTTCTCCCTTTTCAGCTCCTTTTCTATACTTAAGACCTGTGGCCCTCAAAGGAAAAATGATTCATACCAAAGGAAAGATGATTCATATCATTGAAACAGAAAAAATCTGAAGCAGTTTATAAAGCGAAATGAAAATGACCCAAATTGGGCTGCTCTCGGCTGTCTGCACCTTCCCTGTCCTTCTAGTTGGGGGTATGAGGTGGCCTCTGGAATGCCAGCCCACCTTCCTATGAAAATGGCCTGACGGTTTCTTACAGAAGAACAGATAAGAGAGACTGAAGCTTCTTTAAGGAGGTTCATTTCTAGCTACCCTGAAGAACCTAAATTTGAAAAATATGAACGTGGGTGTTAAAAAGTAAAAGGGGGCTGGGATCAGTATGGGGAGGGAGGGGGAAAGAAAAGGAAGATTAAAGAAACAGTCAAGTGAGAACTGGGTGAGAAAGAGTTATCAAAACAGAATACAAAGTACCCTATCTGTATTCAGGAAGGTTCTGCGGTTTGCAATCCAGGTTCCCAGGTGCTGAAGTTAAATCCAGGGCTGTCTTGTCTTTGGTTTTCACACTGCGGGTATTCCTCCTGGTGG